TTTCACCGACGGATTTTCCCTCGTTAATCCGTTGCTAATTTGTAAAAAATTAAGAAATAAATTTTTAAAAATTACATAAATCCTGTATTTATTTTTAAAAAACCTGAAAATAATAATATATAACAAACCAAATCTGTGAACAAAAGTAACCAATTCATACGATTTAAAATATGGATTCATACAATTTAAAATATTCAATTTTAAAAAAAAGATGAAGTTCTACCTTACTGCGATGAAGATCATCTACATCCTTGATCCTGAACTACCAGATTTGCTGAAACATATGGATGATGGCAACGGTATGATCATCCATATGTTTCAGCAAATATGGTAGTTCAGGATCAAGGATGTAGATGATCTTCATCGCAGTAAGGTAGAACTTCATTTTTTTTTTTTCCATTGCAGAAAGTCGGTACCATCAAATCGGTCAAGTTTCACAGTCTTGAACAAGAAGTTTTGTTGTGTTATTGGGAGTAGTTATATCTAATATCATCCTAAGATTGATAGAAATTTTGATGCATAAAACAATAAACAAACATAATTATTAGGATGTGATTTGGAATCACTATCCTTAGGATAATATTAGCCTCCACTATTTGTTATTGGGTTAAGGCTAATTTACCTAATCTTAGATGAAGGACACAACAAATCCTTCAATCTCTATGAACATCGTTCCTGCAAAAAATGGAGGAGAAAGAATAGAAAAGCTAGAGAACTTAGATAGGATTGGTTAATATTTATAGGCTTGGATACTTTCATCTAATCTTATCCAAGTCTTAGTAAAAAGTAAGCAACAAAAGAATCTGTCAAAAGACAAGAAAAATTCAACATCCAGTGGCTTAATTAAGTTGCATAGAAAACCATGTGAACCTTGCAAAAGCTTTTGTATTTGAAAAATAAAAATGCCAGAATTTATTGCATATATAACATGCAAGCCCAAACCAATCCCAAACTCTATAAACCCAATCATTTCTTATTTTATAAAGTAATTTAATGTTTATGTGGGACAAAAATTCCACATTGAAGACTATATTCAACATTTTCTTGACTTTTTAAACCTATTTACGGTACACTTCTTACTCTTATATCCGAAGCCCTACCATGCAGAAAACCCTTGGATCACTACTTTATTTTATCTATAATGTGTTTACGCTTTATGTAAATGCACATAATAACTTCCATTTGTTGTTTACTAGACAACAACAGCAACAACTCTTATTTTGGACCAAAGTAAAAGAGTGTATTATTTGCGTCATTCTTGTTTTATCGCTATGAACTTAATATCAAAACATAAAAAGGAATCATTTTAACATCAAACACCTTTCAATTACAATATGTTTGCTCTTGATTTTGAGGCATTGGTACGATCATATTACACAAGTAGTTGGTAAAAAGTCTCTTTTGTTTAATTAAAAACCTTTGGGCTTGTGTGCGATGAAACTGATACATTGGACTTGGCGAACATTATCGAAACCGATGATACGGATAAAGGCATTTGGGTACTCCTTCTTGCATTCGTTAAGCTCCTTCAACACCTGAGCCGAATCAGTGCACCCAAACATTGGCAACTTCCACATGGTCCAGTATCTTCCGTCATAGTATCCTGGTGACCTGTGGTTTTCACGGTACACAAACCCATGTTCTACCTCAATGGAACCCACTTGTTGCGAAGAAGGTAGTCGATCTCCTTGGCCAACGATGATTCCGGCAGCGGCGGCAGGTATGAAAGTGTCTCGTACTTTTTCAATCCGAGTGGCGGCCACACCTTCATGCAGTGCACTCTTCCGCCGTTGCTAGGGAGGGAAGACAAGTCATTGTTGGACTTCTTGGTGAGCGGAAAAGCGGCATTGGACTTGAGGCCGGTGAATGGAGCCACCAAGGTGAGTTGACCAGGGGTGGCAACGGTGGCGGAAGAGGCCGAGATGGAAGCCATTTTGGTAATTCACTTCACAATGAAGTTGGTGTTTATTTGTMGTAGTGGTTTTGGAGGCAAAAGTGTGTAGGTATATATAGTGGTGGAAGGGAAGAAATGGAGAAAAGGCAATCTTGGTGTGATTGTGGTTGATGGTATTAGACGCATGAGAGCCACATAGACAAAAGGGGGCTATATCTGGATAGGTACACCATGAACCAGAAGTTTGAAATGGTAGGGAGGACCCCATTAATTCTACCCCATCCCATAACACTAGATAAACTTCCAACTCAAATTTTTTTTGAAAAGAATATTAAATGTCATAAAATAATAACATCAAACTGATGATGATGGATTGGATTCATTCAATGTGTTAATTCAATCAATTTTTTTTTAAAAAATGAAACAGACTTAAATCACTTCAAAAATATATATTAAAACCAATATAAACGAGACTAAACATTCAAAAACCAACACAAAATAAATTCTGATTTTAAACAAATTGAAAACAAATTAATTGGATAATTGTTGTACGGACAACTCGATGGTTAATTGGATGTTAGTCGGCTTTGGATTACTATCCAAGAATTGACCGATCCAGATTAGATGTCGTAATTTTCAATCTGATCCAATCTAATTACAATTATAATCGGTCGGTTCTAATTTGATCGGTCATTTGCAGTCTTTTGAGAAGACAAATGCAGGTCACATCTTCTCCTTTCTTTCCCAAAACTCTGTAAAATTTTGAATCTACATACTATATGTGGTTGGAAACTTTGTAGCTGAAAACAAACCAATTAATACATCTTACAATTAATCCATCAACTACAATTACCCAACACTACTACTTCATGTATGTACTCACTCCATTCCAGACTACATCTAAATCTATATCAATTTCACTACATAAACACCCAGCCCCTAAACGCTTTTTTATCCATCGATCTTTCTGCCCATTTCATCTTTCGGTTGTTTTTCTATATATTTATATATCGACTGGTGGCTTTTGTAGTCGGTCATAAGATGGCCTCCCTTTTGCTATTACCATGGAAAAGTACTTGTCTATGAATCTCATCGCATTTTTGTGACAATGTTACTGCTATCAACGGTTCTAAAATACGTTCCTTCTCCCTACTCTTTATCTCTTCCAACAACCCTTCTCCCGTCTCTATACCTGCAACAACAGCTTACCATTTTTAGGTTTTTAAAACCATCAACATCTTATTACTCCCTCCGTCCCAAAATAATGCCCACTTTCCAATTGTACTTTTAATTATGAAAACTATATACTCACCTGCTAGGTAGCCACCATGGACATAACCACTAAACCTTTCGCTTGTATGTTCTCCCGTGAAATAAATCCGTCCCACAGGAGCCTAATTAACCAAATATCACAAAAACTAATATTTAATTTCATATGTGCTCTGAAACTATACATACAATATAAGAAAAAAAAAACAACATACCTTGATGTTTTGTACCATTTGAGGATTGGCATAGATGGGGTAGTTGCTGTAACTGCCACGCTGGAATCGATTGTTCCACCAGCGTGGCACAAGTATGTCTGTAGCTTCTGGAATATCAGGCCCAAACATGTCCCTAAGAACTTCCATTGCTTCTCTCAGTGTTTCTTGGTCTGATTGGGATTCAACGCGTTTGGATTCTCCATTTGTCAAGGTCACAACAAGAATATTTGACCCTGGGTATGCATTCTCCATGTGCTGTATATGCATGGAGATAGATTCATCACAAAACATCTTTAGGTCAATATATGTAGTTGATGAGTATTCGAGAAAGAACCAAAATATTTAGAATGTACAGATAAAACTAAGATGTAGCTAATTAGTTATTCAATAGTATTTCCTCAAGCCTATATGTGTGTGTAGGAACCTTCCCTTTCTCCGCAAGGGCTCTTTTGAAGAGTGATCCGAGGGTTCCACATATTCTAATAGCTTTAAGGAAAATAAACCATGTACTCTAGAGCCCCTTTTCAAGGTAGTTTTCTAAAAATAAAAGTAGTATTTTATCAAGATGTCATTCGGTTATCTATACATTGACACCAAATTGTTCAGCTTGGTGGCCACCCCAGCTTAAATTTACATGCTTCATCTTCACTGGACTTTGTGATATATACAATATGTGTAGCAGGTTTGGATTACTTTCCATAAATGACTCTTGGAAGTTCAATGCTAATGGACAAAAAAATAGCAATCATCCACTATATATGCCTCAGTTGTTTTGCATCATGAATTATTTGCAAGCAATGCATATTAAGGGGTCAACAAGTAAATAAAAATAAGGAAGTAACAATTATGAATTAGCCAAATAATAGCCATGTATGAAAAACAAGTGTGTGACAGCCTTCACATAGTTACTTTACATAACAATTTATCATGTGAATATAATACGCTTATAGTGAATGATGAAGCCATGATCTCCATTAGAAATTAGGCTACTTGGAAATTTTTTAGTTATCATCTTAAACAAGATGACAAACCCATGAATTGAACCCCTCTATTGTACCAAAAATTTCTCCATATAAATTGCAAGCACTTGTCAAGATAATAATAATAAATCAAACGAACCTGCCAAAATGTGTAGTAGCCTCTTCGTTCATGGGCATATATGAAGAATTCTTTTCCAGGACCACAAGGCCAAAACTTATATGGAAACTTCAAGAAGATTTTTGTGTACACCATAACATCACACTTCTGAATGGCCTCCATCTTCCACCTCTGTTGTCATAGTTATCAGTTTCGTTAATTTTTAATCGACAGAAATCACCCATATTGCTACAAGGAAGTGTAGATCACAATGAGACCCACAAACAAAAATAATTTCTTTGTACTCAACCTTAATTGGTTCCAAAGAAGCATGACGATTCTGAGAATCTGTTGCATGTGCTATCGTGTTATGGTATTCAGGAACACGTTTCAACATTTTATTCATTTTTAGAAAAATAAAGCATCAAGTCAGTTATAGAAACAATCCAATAAATGAATTGGTGGCATATGACAAACTACAAAAATTTGGGGGTTGTAGTCCTCTTACTTTCACTTCTTTTCAAGAATTAAAAGTCCTTAAGAGAGAAGGGAGGTTCAAACATACATAGATGAGAAATGGCCCAAGTCTAGCCAATGTTGAACTCTAACATGCCCCATCAACGAATGTTAGACGGCCGGAATGGTTTTGTTTGGAGGGTCCCATTGGCGTGCATCCGGTAGGAATTGAACCTACGAATTCGCCAATTATGAGTTGGGTGCTTTAACCATTCAGTCATGGATGCTTAGCGGGTCATAGTGAATGACCAGATTCCAATTCARATGGAATCTTTCAACTAAAGCAATRAGATGCTTAAATGGAATTCTTTTAGTTCTAATAAATCAGGAGGAATTTAATGACATGATATGAATATAAGTTCTACCATGTATACGTAAGAATATGTGGAACCCTGCCATTACTCTCCAAAAAGAGCCATTGAAGAGAGAAGGTAGGTCCCAACATATAGAGACAAAGATCGATGATTCAAATCTAACCGATATGGACTCTAACAAGTAGTTCCCTTGTCATTCTCCTATAAATAAAAATAAAAAAGAACATTCTTGGACATTTAGTTGACATGTCGGCTACTTATGTTTATAGAAAGTTGCTGTTTTTAAACCTTAGGGAGAAGATAACTCGATATTAACTATTTTAAAATTCAAATTACTTGGAAATTACATAACTGCCCTTCAGAAAATAATTTTAGATGTGAAAATCCAAAATAGAACTCTACTACGTAATGTGGACAAGAAATATCGCTTTCCCTTGGATGGCATTGTAAATCTTGCCAAAACCAGTTGATTCATCCACAGCATTGAGAGAATACTGTGGAACATAGAAAATTGACCACGGTATCAGACCATCCTCGAATAAAAAAATTGAATTCCAAATTTCCAATTAATACATGGTCCATGATACCAACCATTCAACCTGATGTGTTCTTTAAAATAAAAGCCAACTTAGAGGCATTGAACTAAACAAATAGGTACACATCAGATCTTACTTGAACCATCTGGAAACTGACTTAGTTGGCACCCAATTGGGATATGGCCATATCTTAGCAACGAAAGATCCAGCTCTTCAAGAAAAGAATTTTTAATAAAATATGTGAACCTTTTGAAACCTTTTGCAAAATTATTCCAAGTATTGCAAGAACCTAGCTAATAAGGACAACAACAAAATTGTGGCCTGCAGAATGTGATGAAGATTTGGAGCATACTAGGGTGGTGGCCACAAGATTCATAGTACGCACCGTAGCTCCTCCATAGGCATGTGCATTGTGTAAAATCAAATCTTTGCACTATAGACATTAACGGCTTATAATAACAACGGAGCATTGCTTCAAGAGCATATGGGCATGTTCATGGACAAGCCAGATACATGGCATCAGCATTATCCATGTCATATTGAAAGTTTCAAGATGATATAACCAACAAATCAGGACTATTTGGAATTAAAATTTAGAGTGATTGAGCAAGAAAATGGTTCTTAAACATACAAGGAATATTTTTTAAATAGCCCGGTAAAACCATGAATCCAGTAAGCAGTAACGTGTTGATAGAAATTGACAGCATTATGTTTAAATTCACAAATTTTGGCAAATTGAATGAATACTATTCCCTTGTGCCAAAATGAATGAAACCCTTTTTCTAGGTTGTCCTGAAACAAATACAGTATTTCAGTTTTGGCTAAAGTTTCAATCCCAATTATTTTTGTCAACTAATAACCATTATAAGGTATTAGTAACATTGATGTAAGTCTTTAAATTTCTTTTATTTAAGCTAATGTATAGATATATGTAGGGAGTGAAATGCATAGAAATTAGTTTGAGGAACAAAACAATGTATTTTTACCCTAATCATGCTCCTTATATTAACAAGCATATACTATTTTAATAATAATTTTTGAATATTAACAAAATAAGATCATGATATGATATACATATATATCTAATAAAATAATATAAAATCTTTATCGGGAGCTTTTTGAACAGAGGAACTGATAGTTTTTATATTTGACTCCCTACAATAATTAACGAGTCAATGTAAAAACTCTATTGAAATTATCTAAACTAATATACAATATAGATAAAATGCACGTACATCCACGTGGGTTGGCTGGTCAAGGATTAGTAAATAAATGTGAGGAGGTTGTTGCGGGTCAACCAAATAAATTATCACCTAGATGTGGCGGGATATCCCTAAACCAATGTTCAGGCTGCTTTTTTTTTCTATGTAAGAAATGCTTCTGTATAATTCTAAGGTGGCAGGGGGCAGCACACGAAAACATAAAAAGGCAACCATACTATTAGACGTGACACAAAGATCAATTTGGAATATAAACAAATAGAATAACAGGAGATGGAGAGAGAGAGAGAGAGAGAGAGAGAGAGAGATTCTTACAGGCAAGTGGGGGTTGAAAGAGATGAGGTGGCTCTGAAGGACGCCAATACTAACAGACAAAATTACGTAGTTGGCTTCGAAAACGCAACCATCCTCCGTTCTCACTTTAACGCCGTCTCTCGAGTGCTGTAATTCCCGAACAACCTGCATCCATCAAAACATGCATGCACGTATAACAACAGTCGCCATAGATTCTCTTAGAAAGTCAAACAAGGCCATGAACTCTGTGCCTAGAACAGGGCCAGTCCTGACCACATGCAGTCGTACAAGACATGATTGTCTAAAGGGGCATTAAATTGTCATTTATTACTAGTTTTGAGTTTAATAATTCGAGAATTGGACAACTGAGTTTTAAATATAAAAACACCTACTAGTGATGAATACTGAATGCACATCGTTGGAAAAAGTTGGAAAGTTAGAAAAGTTTTTGTTTGTATAAAGTTGTCTGTGTGAATTAATCTGTTTGTATAAGTTGAAAAAGTTTTTGTTTGAGAGAGTTTTTTCACAGATGTAAGGAGCGGTTTTTTTAGTTGAAAGGGATATGTTTGGAAAAAAAAATTGACTTTCTATATAAAACTCCCCCTAGAGACTTACTGGATAAGTCACTTTCTATATCATTAAGCCACTACGAAACAGTCATGCATAGTTGAGGGAATAAGCTGTTAGTTCCATTAAACTTATTAAGCTGCTAACAGATAAGCGCTTAACCATGTAGTCATTAGACATGTAACTTTTGAGTTTTACTTTTTACTTACTATGACAACAATTTGGATATAATTTACTATTTTAGTTAAAAACTAATTATAGTTTTCCTTGTCTTTTAAGTTTCATATATTAAAATAAAGTTTCTATTTTGCTAATTTCAATTTGGAAAATGGAAAACCGGAAAAGAAGGAAATACGATCTTAATCCAGAATTTATCATTTTATATTTTGTATTTGGGGTTTTGGTTTTTGTCCACCCATTGTATTTTTTTTAATTATAATTAATAAAAATCAACATCTGAATGAGATACTTAACTTGAATAGGTTCTAAACTCTTTAAAAAATCACATGTTTTATTATTTTATTAGCTTAAAAAATAGTTTTAGAAACATTTTTTTTATTTTCGCACAGGAAATTAAAAATTATAAGACCGGCCTTAGCCTAGAATAGCTATAGCCTAGCTTACTATATATTTATTTAATTGCAGTACATACCAAGATGTCTAGAAAAACGTGTAATCTGATTTCTGCTTATTTTTATAACCATTCTTATGCATTGAGCAATGGGAAAAGCTTTTCCAAGAACTGTTCGATATTTTATTATAAAGTAGATCTCCGCTTATCTCAAATATATAAAGATAATTTACAATATCCCACGCTACATTCATATGTGATATGGGTACGTATTTCTAGGTGTATAAGTGATATTTTGACGGTTATTATAGTGGTATCTCGATTGCACCATGCTAAAACAGATAACAATCAGAAAACCAAAACTAAGGCAAAAAGTTTTTGAAAGCACTTAAAAGTTGTGGTATCTTGATTACACATGGTACCGTTTTCTTCTTACATGTAAAATGCATAACGAGCAATGAGGTTGGGATTAATTAATTAATTAATAGAAAAATTAACAGAAATAACTAATTTGACCATATAATTGCGTCATAACATTTATGTCCTTTAACTTTATATCAATTGATGGATGACGACTAGCTGTATGCTTGCTAATAAAACAAACGATCAATTGGCACACAAAAAGACGACACAAGGATTCCCAAATCTCAATCATCAGACACAAGAAAGCTTTTAAAAAAGATTTGTGTACCGTGTTTAGTTTGAGACGATTGTCCAAGATTTTGCTATCTGATGTAAATAAGAATTCCTCGGCCATTTTGTACAGCAAGTGCTCGTAACCTCTCTCATCTGCGACCAAGAATTCCCTTTCCCCAAAATCAACGTATGTTGATATTGGCTCAACTTCTGCAGAATAAGATTGTAATTACCGTTATATATCTTATCATCCATGCATTTTATTAATTTGTAAGATTATTGCTTAAGTGTTTCTTTGGGTTACATGTATATCTTGAGTTGTAAATTGAAGGATTAGATACATGTTTTAGTTATTAAATTCAAGCACTTCTAAAAGAATCAAATGCTGTCAAAAAGGGTGTGCCAAAAGCCAAATGAAAGTTTTATTATAAGATGAAATTGGAGAATTCTATTATCCTTATCTATGCATGACACACAAGCGAACTTGTTCGGATTTATTCTTTTTCAAAAGAGGTAATTCGTTCGCTCTAAACACGACTTGCTTGTAATTTATCCTTCAATCCCAAAAAAGCTTGAGTTGCTGATTCCATGCTACTAAATATATAGATTAAAAAATTCCTTTAATAGCTATAAAATAATTTAATTTTATACATGAATCATTGATAAAAAAAATTTAGGTTTGTTTTCAGATTTATTGATAATCCACACGTTTAATCAATTATTCCACTTTCTCAACTTTTTTATCGTTTTTATTTAAACCTTCCCAATAAAAACATGCTTTAATAAATAAAGATAAAAAAAAGGTGACAAGCACCGGGCACTCCATACAGAGCAAACAAGTCTTGGGGATGAGACTCCCGTGCAAGTGCAAGGACCTCGATCAATTCTCATTAGGAGGTCGAACCAAGGACCTATGGAAGTCGAGGCTAGCCCACCCCATGGGCAACACAACAGTGTCCTGAGGGAGAGATTAAAGATATTGGGTTGATTCCCAACCTAAACTTGATTCTCTTGCTAACATAAAAAATAAATGGACAGAGCATAACTAATTAAGCGTCATTTTTACTTGGATCATGTTCTATCATATATTTATTATATTCAGAAACACTTTAAGTTTCTTGATGTAATATAAATAGAAAATGAGATTCATAAAACGTGGAAAATGAATGGAGAATTAATTAGAGAAACTGACCAGCCATTTCGAAATCATGGAGAATAAAATCAATGGCCAGCTCAATAGGCGTTTCTGGTATGCTGGAAAAAGGAACAAATATGATTCAATAAGCAAAATCAACACAAGTGGACGTAAGATACACAAAAGGTAAAAACTTATCTTAAAGAAAAGGAACAAGAAGAAGAAGAAGAAAAAAGAGAGACGTGAACGGGAAGAAGCCAAAAAGCAAAACACAGTACGTGTGCGTGAAAGCGATTAGAGAGAGAGTTACGTGGAAAGTTCCGGAACATCGGAGACGTCAGCAGTAAGAAGGCTGTCCTGATCGGTACGTAGCTTTTGAATCGCCGACTCGACCGCCTTCTTATACGTGTCAGCGGCCACCCCACTCGGAAATATCTTCCCACTGCAACCGTACATTTTAAATGAAAGCCATATCAACAATATTACCATCACCCTGGCCACACCCAGTTCTAACAACCCTCCCGGAAATTTGGCGCCTAAGTTACGGATCTAACAGCCTCATACATCGAAAATTAGTTGAAAATTTATATATGACATTCTTCATCAAACGAATTCCGGTGAACAAATAACTAATTAATTTAATTCTCTATCAACCGGTATAATCAATTAACCAGAATTACGAACCGGAATTAATGCCTTTCCAAAGCATGTTAAAATTGAAGAGATATGATGTTGAATGCCATTACCTTCGATCGTAAATGTTGTAACGAGCATTGCTGTAATCGGAGAAGCAGGTACGAAGACCGGATTGAACAGCGAGCTCCCAAACAGGATTAGATTCTTTTCCACCGACACCGGCAATCCAACCGGCACCAAGCTCCACCGATAGGCTACCGAAATCGTGCTTCTTGATCCTCCCTCCTATGCTATCCGACGCTTCTAGAATCAAAATATCCTCCACTCCATTCGATGCCAACACCTTCGCTGCCGATATGCCTATACTCGTATATACATATATATTATCACATACACACACAAATATATACTATCATGCAATACACATATATATATATATACACACATATCTATATATTTATCTCACCTGAAATTCCTGCTCCGACGATGATAACCGAACAGCGATTTGGAGATTCCATGAAAAAGCTGCGTATTTGCGTCTGTGTAGGAGAGAGGGGAGAGAGGGGGGAGAGAGATGAGAGAAGGCATGGGTAGAAAAGGAAATGTTGATGGGCTAAAAGGTCATTTGGCCATTTGGGTATATGGACACGTCAGTTACTTGTAAAACCAACGGTCCAGATCTGAAGATCACTGTTCGTGCTACCTCAAAGCGCGCAAAAACGTTCTACAAAACTTTGTGAATAATTAAAAATCTTCATAAAATATAAAATTCCAAAATCGTCCATATCAATAATAATAATAAAAAAAGGTTAAAATATAAAATAAACAACCAAAAACATGCTCTATACTTAAATCAGTTTTTTTCAATTTTCTAATAGATAAAATGTTTAACCGGTCGTTTACCAAACACTTACCCGGTAAATGCTTATTGGGTAAAATTTCACTACCACTTACTTATTAGGTAAAACTTTAGTCCATCAAAACGACATCGTATGCAACAATTTACTCAGTAAGCACTTACTATGGTAAGAGTCGCCGCCCTCACTTACCGGGTAAAACTCTCAGTCCTTATTCATCCAATAAGGTAATGTGACTTGATAAGCGCTTATCCGGATAAGCGTTTGATAAACGGCCTCTGAATCTTTTAACTAGAAGAAAAGCATATAATCTAACATCTTTGTATATGTTACCAAGATTTTCAGTTGGTTTTTCATTAAGTTTTGTATATATAAAGTTGTCTATATAGATCAATTTGTTTGTATATATTGAGAATATTTTTGTTTGAAGGGTTTTTTCATATATGGAAGAAACGTATTTTTTTAATTACGAATGATAGATTTGAACGGAACAAAAAAAAAAGACTTAAGTCTTTTGCATAAAGCGTTGTCCTAGAGTTTACTGAAGAAGTCATTTTCAATAAATCATTAAAATACTATCAAACAATTATGTAGTTGACTGAATAAGTTGCGAGTCTCATTAATCATTAAGCTCATTAAACAGCTAAAGAGGCCCTAAGATTATAATACTGCTTTAAGATTAACCAAAGTAGTTTCAAATTTGAAATTTATAGTCTATAAAGCTTCATATGAGAAACTTTCTTGATTCATATGGTTTCAAATGTGGACGGATCCCTATCCGTCGTTAACCCATCCTCATAATCGAATCACTGAGCACTCTTCTTTCTTCTTGGTTACGCTGTTGTCTACTCCAACAATTTTTTACCCTTTCTTTCATGTTCATCATAATGTCCGTAGTTATCTTTATGTCGTTGTCAAAAATTAACTATGAAATTAAAATAATTTATAGTGTTTTATCTTAAAGCGTTATTGTTGGTTTTTGTTTCTTTGGTGTTTTATGTTGATGTTTATTTCTATATATATAGGATTGGGTTCATGTGAGACCAGACTGTTTTCATGAGACTCGTAAGACCATTTTTTTACACTTGAAATTTCACAGCAAAACACTGTGAAGATAAAAAAAATCAAACATTCACTGCAAAAGCATTGTGAAGGTTACTTTCACAGTGTTTTGCTGTGAATTTCAAGTGTAAAAAAGTAGTCTCACGGGCTCATGAAAACAGATTGGTTTTACATGATCCCAAGTCTCTCTCTCTCTCTCTCTCAAATTTTGGGGCCGCTATAAGATTATAGTATTTTTAATTGAGGTTCTTTTAACAATCTACTTTTTTATATTTTTTTTTTTGTTATATTACATTCAACTCATTAAATTAAGAACCGAAATAGAAGTCCATAAATATGGTTTTAATAATTGTAGGTCCCACGTATTTTTCCAATATCAATAACTAGTTATAAAATCAATAAAATATATAAAAAAAGTAACAAAATATCATTTCACACCAAATTCAAGGTAAAAACTAGGTTCTTGTACAAGAACTCAAAGAATATGAGTTACTTCTAAAAACTATTTCTAATAGTGGTTCTTTTAAGAATCTAAATTTTTTGCATTAGAAATGCTCTAGAAATTGCTTCCGCAAGAATGTTTGTTTTTTTGTAAACACAAGGATATTCGTTTGACCATAATGTGTTCATTACTGGGTTATCACATGTGCATGATGTTTTTTGATCATTATGCATAGTTACTAGAGGTGTTCAAAAATCCGACCAACCGAACCTAACTCGAAGCAACTAGATGTCTAGTCAAATTGTAAAATCTTCAAACCGTTTGAATTGGGTTACTGTAACACCCAAATCATATTTTCATATAACAACATATTTCATTTGACATGAAATACGAATTTACATGTTGGTCCCAAATACAAAATGTTACACTCAAAAGTAGCTACAACATTTTTTCACATACATCAAGTACAAGACTTGTAAACATAACAAGTTTTCAAGTACAAATAACAGCTTCCAAAAATCCACATAAAACAATCATAATTCATCACATTTTTCCTTTCCTCTTATCATCTAATTGTGTCTGATCTGTAATACACATTTTAGAACAACAAAATGAAGCTTAGACCATAAGGTCTATTGCAAAATCCCTATTGATTGTTATTATAAAGTGAAAATCACTAAAAAACTTTTGTAAAGCCCATATTTGTATTAATAACAAATATAAAGTGTTTTTTTATCAAAACAAGCCTCTTTTTATCGCATCAATTAGATGAGACAATCTTTTTTCATTGTATCAAACTCATTGAGTATCAAACTTATCGTATTAAACATAAAGATACTAACTTGTCGCATCTCATTGATGCGATCACATTCTTATTGCATCTTATCAATCTTGTCGCATCATATAGATGCAATGTTTCATTTCCTCGCATCACAATGATGCGATTACCCCACCTTGTCTCATCATACTGATACAATAATCTCACTTTATCGCATCACACTAATGCGATAACCCCATTCTTCGCATCACAAGGATGCGATAACTTTCATTCCTTGCATCACAAAGATGCGATAACACCATTTTATCGCATCATATAGAAACGATAAATCAAACTCATTGCATCATGAAGAAGGTAATGAAAATATCTCATTTACCGCAACAAATTATCAGACCAAAATCACATAATAAAGTTCTTCCTTTTTATGCTTTTGTTTTGTTCGAACACAGTGACCGAAAATGACGACTAACCAACTTTTCTTCTTCTTATCACATCAAAACCCAAGAAGGTAATGAAAATATCTCACATCTATCCATTTTTATATAAGAGGCAATGGAGATTAAAATATTTTAAGCATAATTTCAAAACAACCCCTCAACTTTCTACCACTATTTAAAATCAACCTAAACTTTTATGACCAATAACCCGGTTATAACAGTTACAGTCATTTAAACCCAACCCAACCGAACCCGTGAACTCAATATCATTTTATTCTTGGATTTAACATGATTGTTAAGTCCCTATTAATATGTATATTAGACAATTACACCATCATATACTCTCTTCATATACATATATTTTCAATCCCTTCTCTATCTCTATATAACTCATTTGTATATATGTTTAGGAAATGTAAACATATATATGTAAATTGAGAAAAATAGTTGAATATGATAAACTAAAAGTTTAAGAAGTATGGATAAGTTGTACCAAATTAATGATTGATGATAAAGAAAGAATTCTAAGTAAAGAAAACAACATATTCAAGGTTGGGATAATATTTTGATGTATTGAAGTATCAATCATATATACCAACCCCACTAACATGACCAAGCCATACGGTTTGGGTTGGGCTGGGTTGGGTTGCATTGTAGTTTCGGTTGGGTTGAGTTGGGATTTTTAAAACCACAAACATTGAGTTAGGTTGATCAAATATTTTTAACCCGATCAACCCAATCCATAAGCACCCCTAATAGTTACCTCGAGATTGTTCCAGGTGCAGTTCAAGATATGATCACCGTTTCAGATTAACATATTGGGGTTTCAGTTATCCATGTATCGGTATCAGGGCCAATTTAGTCTTGCAAGCAAGATGACTTTGGATATTGGGTGAGTTTCATGTGTCATATTTTAATATGGATTGAGTGCAATGTTTCATTTTAAAGTCGTGTTCATGATCTCTTAAATGTTATTGTGATTGATTTGAAGCATGTAAGTGTATGTTTTTTTTTATTTATGATTTAGACTATATTTAAGAAACATAAGTTAGTTTATTAAAATTTCTCATTTGGTTACCATGAGTTATCTTATAATTTGTTTTATTTTTTGAGAAGTTAATTCAAGCAACATTTTGAATAAGCTTTAGTGGCTTTTTTTTCCCACTTATTTCAATTTTGCACCTTATATTTTATAATTAATTCTTTGATGCGTACTTCTAAATCAGTTTCTATTGTCATTTAACATATCAATTAGTTTTTATTAAACATTATTAGTTTATCAGTCAACAGTTAGTTTCTTAGTTACTTTATCAAATATAGATTTAGGGTCTATTCTTTAGCAACTTAATGAGTTTAATAAGGTTCACCATTTATTCGTTTAGCTATACATAACTGTTTGATAGTAGCTTAATAATATAGAAAGTGTTTTATGCAGTAAACTTTAGCGAAAGAGTTTTATGCAAAAGATAAAAAAATTCCAAACCTGTCATTCCTAATTAAAGACACGTTCCTTTTATTTATTAAAAATATTTTTCAATTTATACACAAATCTATTCATACAAAACTTAATAAAAAACCAACCAAACAACTCCATAATAAAATTAAGATATAAAAATACAAATAGGATGTAAATTGAAATTACTATTCATACCCTTTATTTTGTATTCTGTTTTGTTCACATATTATTCATACAAAAGCATATATAAATAGAATTGAACTTAATCTCTATTCAGGCTATTTCAAAATTGTTGGTTGATAAAAAAAGTCATAATTGTTCTTTTGACCACAGTGCCTATTTCTACATAAATCAGTCCCTCTTGGAAATTTCCATATTCTTTTCCTCTTTTATTTATATAATTTCTAAATTATAATATTATTTTTGCTATTTATTACCTCTCTCTCATTCTGGTGCTGGTAAGATAACACCGTAGATGAATTAGGAGCTGCATGAGCATTGAATTTGGAACACACGTTAAACGAAATCTTACCGAGGACCCTAAAAAACATCGGTACGTACAA